AAAAAAAAAAAAAAATTCTGTATGGGAGACTAACTTGAAACGTAAACTTCATTTAATTACATCTTTAAAAAAAAGAAAAGAAACACAGGGCTTCCTTGCTTGCATTAGTCTGAGACACACCTTGATTCCAAATCCTGGTGGGAACGAGGATCAGGGGTGTGGTAAAAGAAACGGGATGTTCCAAGTGAAGAACTATGGCCATGTTTTTACCATCCCTGGATGCAGCTCGGTTCCCTTTACGTGGTAAGCGTTTGTGTGCATGCGCGTAGGTGGGTATCTGTTTGGTGTGATTGTGAATATCTGTGTTTGGGTGAGTTTGTGTGTGTCAGGAAATATGTCCCACTTACACAGTACAATTGACAGTGTAAACAGTCTCAAAAAAATCTCCCAACAAAACTGCGCATTCAACCCTCACCACAGCTGTACCTAGAGGTTTGATTCCTATCCCCCATTCTCAGACGGAGAAACTGAGGTGCACAGATAAATGGCCCAAGCTCTTGAGCTCCTAAGTGGAACAGCCGAAGTGTAAACCCAGGCCTGACCCAAATGCTGATGCTGAGAACTACTGAGCTGCGCTCATCTCTCAGTCATGCGTTCATTAGTCACTGTGCAAGGGACTTCCAGCATCTGTATATGTGCCTGCAAGTACCTGAACCCAAGGAGACCACAAACACTGCCCATCATTATTTGTGATGATCCCACACACCAGAGGGAGCCACTGGTACATATTATCAGGTTTTGGCATTGCCACTGGTGTGAAATGCACACAGGAAGCCCACAGCCTGCTGGTCAGCTCAGAGATTGTGAAAGGCATGAGGCAGCACATGGGACCACCAGTTCAACCTGTCCCTGCTGGGGTCACTTCTCAGCACCCAGTCCAAAGCAGATAAAAATCAGGGAGATATTTCAGGGTGTCTGAGGCCATTATCACCACGTGCCTGGAAATGTTCAAAGCCTGTGAGCTTCATACCCTAGGGACAGTTACAAATAAGAACTCATAGCACCTTTGGTTATCCATCACCCTTGTTGCAACTCTTGTCCAACTGGCCTAGAGGCCTTCAGTGCTCTACCCATGGTTCCTCAGCATAATGAACACTCCCACTGTTGGATGGATGGCTATGTGAGCATGGACAGCCACCTGTCTCAAGAAATATACACACATGTGGTATAGAAAAGGAAGACTGGAATGAAAAATATCATGATTAATAGCGGCTATTTCTAAATGGGAGTCCCTGGTTGGCACAAATGGTTAAGCGCTTGACTACCAGCCTAAAGATTGGTGAATCAAACCCACCCAGACAAACCTTGGATGACAGGCCTGACAATTCTCTTCTGAAAGGGTCACAACCTTGAAAACTCTATGGGGCAGTTCTACTCTACACACACACAGGTCTCCATGAGTTGGAATCAACCCGAAGGCAACTAACAACAACAACAAAAACATTTTTAAAGGGAGAAGGAGAGCGGCTGTCACAAGTGGTTTGCAATCAGCTACTAACCCAAAGGTTGGTAGTTCGAATGCATCCAGTGGCTTTGTGGAAGAAAGGCCTGGCGATCTGCTTCCATAAAGATCACAGCCAAGAAAACCCTATGGAGCAGTTCTACTCTGTAACACATGGGTCACCGCAGTCAGGGGCCACTCAACAGCAGGTCAGAGCAACAACAGCAAATTTTTAAGTGGTAGAGTATCAATATTTTCAATTCTTTTATTATGACTACCTTAATAACAAAAGATTAGTGAATAAGTATAATAAAATGTTTTGCCTTTAACTGAATTCAGTGACTCAATATAAGGTTGCTTTTAATCAAGTGAAAAATCCTATACTTCCAATAATACACACACTAGCAGCACATAGCATATGTAGGTGCTGATATGATCCTGGAAGATGTTGAGAAGATACTGGCGATTTAGTAAGGCTTAAAAAACTGTCAAAAGCCATGGTCTCAGGGAACATCTAGCGCAACTGGCATAACATAGTTTATAAAGAAAATGTTCTACATTCCGCCTTGGTGAGTAGCATCTGGGGTCTTAAAAGCCTGTAAGCAGACACTCCACTGGTCTCACTCCTTCAGGAGCAAGGGAGAATCAAGAAAACAAGATATAAGGGAAAGATTAGTCCAAAGGACTAATGGACCACAACTACCACGGCCTCCACCAGACTGAGTCCAGTACAACTAGATGGTGCCCGGCTACCACCACTGACTGCTGTGACCAGGATCACAACAGAGGGTCCCGGACAGAGCTGGAGAAAAATATAGAACAAAATTCTAACTCACAGAAAAAGACTAGACTTACTGGCCTGACAGAGACTAGAGAAACCCCGAGAGTATAGCCCCTGGACACCCTTTTAGCTCAGTAATGAAGCCACTCCCAAGGTTCACCCTTCAGCCAAAGAACAGACAGGCCCATAAAACAAAACGAGACTAAAGGGGCACAACAGCCCAGGGACAAGGACTAGAAGGCAGAAGTGGACAGGAAGGCTGGTAACAGGGAACTCAAGGTGGAGAAAGGAGAGTGTTGACATGTTGTGGGGTTGTTAACCATTGTCATAAAACAATGTATACTAACTGTTTAATGAGAAACTATTTGTTCTGTAAACCTTCATCTAAAGTACAATAAAAAAAATTTTAAAAAAAGGTCAGAAGGATGGGACTCTGTCATTAAATCAGAGTGTGTATTTTAGTACTGTTTGTAGACTGTTTCACAAGGCTTTAGGTTACCTTAGCAACAAAACCAAGGCCACAGTTAGTCATCACTTTCCAGTTATTCTTATTGGCCATCCTTCTTCCTCCAAGGAAGATGCCCAAGTACAGTTCAGCCCGTGTTTTTATCCAAACACTTCAACGCACTCTTGTCCCATTTTCAAGTTAATCAAGTTCTTAGAGTAATTCTTGAACATCACCACCAATGTGCTCACACTTACTCTGTGTCCTTCTAGCTCCCCAGGACGACACATTAAAGATGTTCTCCAGCGACAAGGCAGATGATGCCCCATCTAATGCCAAGGTAAGGTTGCCAATCTTTGTCTGAGAAGGGTTGCTTTCCAGGCTTCTTTCTTTTTCAACTGAGTCCAGGTATGAGATCCTCACTATGTACATTATAGACGATATGTACTGTTTTCTTTGGGAGTCCAACGGAAAACTCTTACCAACTGATACCTGAGTCAAGAGAGCATTCAAAAATGATAGCTCCAGCTCATAAATTATGGGATGGAGCCTTTTCCTCACTAGCACTCTCCCCTTGGATTCAGAATTTTGTAACTGCCGACCCAAATGGGCTAGAGAGAGACAAGTCCTCCAGGAAAACCCTGTGCCTTTCCTTGGGTGTCATCTCTTTCTTTTGGGTCCTTGAACTCCACCACTGTCTGATATCTGGTTTTCTAAAGTCAAAAACAGAAAGAAATGTGCAAACCATACCCAGCATGATGTGATCCTCATAGCTTTTTTCATTTCTGTAATTGTAGGTGGCCTCAAGAGCAAGTCAAAATGGTATGTAATCTGGAATCAGCCAACTCCTATGGAAAAAATATAGATAAGGAAAGTAGGGTTTTCTTGCTGGGTCAGTCTGGAGAACTACCCTGATTCCAGTTCCTGGTAGGAATGAGGGTTGGGGTGTAGTGAAAGAAACTGATTTTCCAGGTGAAGATCAGGTCAGCAAACTATTCTACAAGGACGGGCAAGAAAGGTTACATCTTCCTCATCTTTGGATCTCTAGAACTCCATTCTTTTAAATTAATTTCATTTATTAATTAATTCAGTTAACTAAAATAAAAATATCACTAAATCACACTAGTCATATTTCAAACGTCCAAGAAGCTTATATGCTGGTGGTTGCTGTATTGGACAATGCACAGAGAACATTTCCATCATCTCAGAAGGTTTCCTTGGGCAGGTGCTCTGAGCCTAGTGCAGGGTCTGTTCAGGGAACTCATCTAACCCAATGTGCCCCTAAAAGTTGGAATTTCGGGTTGATAAGATTGGGGTCAGAGCTAGAATGGCCCAGTGGAAACAGGGAAGTGACAGTGAAAGGGCAGTCCTTCACTTCCTTGCTCTCATCTTAAGGTTTGCAAACTGTGAGCATTGGCATGTTGAGGTTCTCTAACTCCACAGAGCCCACGGAAGGCCTGAGAAGCCAGGGGAAGGAGCGGTGGTGTTCTTAAGTCAGCCAGCATGGCCTCAACTGGGGTAGGGAGGAACGGTGTGCCATTCTCTCTCTTTCTTGATGTTTATGTCTCTATAAAGATTGGGGTGCAGACAGGAGGTATGACTCTAGCAGTGACAAAGAAGACACTCAAGGTAGGTTCCAATGGGAGACGGTTACTGGGAGCACTCTGGTTACTCCTGCTGCTTCAGAAACTGAAGGAAGAGGGAGGGGTGAAGTCAAAGAAAAAGGAAATATGAGTGGAGGTCTCTTTTGCTCTTTTCATATTTTATTTACATAATAGTAAGACAAGTTATATCCATGGGCTTTGAGTGTGAAATGTTTGAAATCATCTTTTCCTGCTTTGCTATTTCAAGATTATCATTCCCACAAGACCTGCCATCACTGCCACTCCCAGACATCAAAGCCTGAGATTTGCTGGTTTCCCGTCACTTGGGATTTGAGTGCAGGAGACTCTGTGTTGGGTTTTGGTGTTGACTGACGATGTGGGATATCTGGTGGGTCACAACTATCTCACAGGCACATAGTTGACCCTGGAGACAGAGTCCTTGCAGTGTGTGCCAGGTGGAGGGTGAGAGGTCGGCCCTTTCCCTTCTGCAATTTCAGGTCTTGTAGCAGTGCCTTCATGTCTGTCACTGTCCACTCCTGCTTTAAAGGTCACTCCCAGGCTGAAGAGGTAAAGAACATTTACTCTGGGCACACGACACGTGCTCCGTGCCCTGGAGTAGTGAGGAGCGAAATATAACCTGGAGTACATTTCTAGCCTCCACTCCTCACCCAAATCACAAGTCCTAGTTTGAATAACAGAACCAGAATTTCCTTCCATTTGAGAGGCTTCTGTTCAGCTGCCCCGAGACACTCCAGTGCCAGCAGGACTCTAGAGGACGTGTGTGATGGGGCTGTTGGGCTTGCATCACACGCTTGCTGTCACAGTCCACAGACCTGGTCCCCTGAAACTGACCACGCCCAGGACAGAGCCTCTGGGCAGCAGGGCTGGGAAGGGGCTCCCCTCTGAACTCACCACTGCAACCACATAGGTCAGCCCCTGTTCCCCACACTCCAGTAACATCCCACTCAGCTACCTTTCCTCAGGCCTGCCCAGGTGTCCTCACCTTTGAGTCCTCTCAAGGTTTGGTGCAAACCCTTCAGGTAGTTTTTATTTCTGTGGCCATCCCTGCTGTAGCAGCCCTGTTGCCTCACTTGTAGACTAAGGGAAACTGGACAAGTCACTTTACCTCTGATCTCACACTCACCCCCTCTAATGGGCAAGAAAACTTATGGGGTTGTTGTGAGGATCAAACGTCTCCCAAGTTCCTAAGTCACCACAGGCACAGAAGAGTCACTCGATAAGTGGGTTTGATTGTTGCTCTCTCCCACAAGGCTGCACATAACCCCTGACCATGACAGGTGCTCCCTGGGTAGGATGGATTGTTTAACTGATCAATGGATTGATTATACATGTTCCCAAATTGAAGAACCATGTGATTGGAGGAGGTTGATGGGGGAAATGAACTGGGCAGGAATTAGGAGAAAAAAAAGAGGCAGGAAGTAGTGAGAGCAGGGTGGAGGAGGCAGGAAAGGCAATGTCGTGCACAGGGTCATGGAGATAGTGGCTGCCTTCTTGGAGGAACAAGAGGACATGCCATTGCTTCCTGGTCGAAGTTATACAATGTCAGGTAAGGAAAAGTACGCTGGAGGTCCGAGAACCCCTCCCTCAGGGCAGAGGTGAAGCCATGGAGGCCCCAGGAGAGGAGAGATGAGGACAGAGTCGGGTCCAGAGGTCAGGGTACAACCAGCCATGAGCAGCAGGGGCCCAAGTTCTCACCTCAACACTGACTCTCCCTTTCCCTTCCCGAGGCCACACCATCATTGTCACTGCCCTGGTCCACTCAAAAGCTAATTTCTCGGAATCTGAGGAGGAGAAGGAAAACAGCATTCTCCCTGAAATGTGAGCATGGAAGGGGTAGGATAGGGTGGGGGGAGGCAAATAAGTTCCCATATGAGCCACTGCTTCCCTAACTTTCATTTTGGCACTTTAGGGAAAGCAACACAACCAATACAGGGATTCTGGGTGGTGTACATGGAAGAGATAACATTACAAAAATAAGTTTAGGTAAGTGAAGAGAATACGTTCCCTGGGGAAGGGATACCCATTCCATAGAAGGTCCTAAGGGTGGTTAGGCCTTGGGCCTAAGGCTAAGCTGTCCGATGGCTGCAGTAATTCAGAGAAGAGGGCTGTAGGGTGCCCATGTGCATAACTGCAGGGGGTGCGATTCACAATGAATTATTTGTGAAGGGTGTCCCGAAATTGTTCAACTTTGTCCTATGCAGAAGCCAACCTGCCCTCCCAACCCCCTTAGGGTCAGCATGGAGCACCCAGTTAACTACTGAGGGTGCTGAGAACCTGTGAGGTGCCCTGATCTCCTCCACTCCAGGCACCTGGGAAAGCGGTAGGGGAATCCAGAGGCACCTCAGGTGCAAGCAGCATAGCTCACCTGGCTCTGCTCGGCTCTGCCTCCCTGGGGGCGTGTGGTCATCCCTGCCATCAAGTAGGGGACCCTGTAGGATCCAAGCCTGACTGGTAGCTGCCCAAGCTCTTGGGGCCCTCAGCCTCTGGGGAGACCTGCTGAGGGCCAGGGTCACCTCAGGGCACTGTTTATCAAGCTGAGGTTCTATAGAATTTCTGTACTTTTTTTTATAAATTCAAACAAAACACAAAAATCTGAAGAAAATTCAATGCAATGATCACACAGAATGAGAACAGGGGGTAGCATGACAAGTTACCTATGTTCCTGTTACTGATTTTTCAATTTTGTAAATAAAAAAATAGAACTGGTTTTAATACATATTAAAAAGCAGTGTCTTCTGTAACCTCTACATGTTGGAATATAGTAAATCCATAAAAGTTGTTTTCATTACCATAGCATAATGATTTTTTTAAATTGAAAGGCATAGGCAAGATTCGGTGTTAGTCTTAGAAAGAAAAATGATCACCATGGGGAAAGGGAAGAGTTCCAGGAAGCTGTCCATGCGTAATGTGAAGATCTCATGACTGGATAGTATTGATGTACAGGTGGCGGGGGCAGAGTCATCACTTCTACACAGTTCCATCAGATCACTCAAATGACCCAGGTGTGTGGGGCTCTGCCATTTCATCCTGGATCCCACAGTCCTCTTTCTGCTGTAGTATTTTCACTGAAGGCTGCCCGGCTGAGTGCTCAGGTGTAATTGTTTTGGGGGACATTTAGAGGCACCTCTGCCCTCAGCAGAGAGCAGCAAACAGGCCTCCGTGCCCTGTTGACTTGACCCCTGAGAATCAGAGGAACCCAAGGTGCCTCTCCAGGGCCTAAGGAGCTTTCTGAGTCCTGCAGCCCACCCCAGCATGCCCCTCCTCCGTCCCTGTCAGTGACTCCCCGCTGATTCCGGCCCGTGTTCGTGTCACAGATTCCGGACTTGACTCAAGTGGTGGTGGGGACCTGAATGCATCAGCCTTGTCTAGATGAAGCTGCAGCTGCCCGTGTGTTTTTGTCTAATGATTTTTATTTATTAGTTTATTTTACGTTTTATTCCTAAAATTATTATATTTACATTTCTTATTGTTTATTTCAATCATGGGTATTCTTTGTTTTTTGTAGTATGAGTCATTTAGTGGTTATGAATTTTCAGTTTATTTTACATTTATCTATTTTCATGGGGATACAGTTTTAGCTATAGCAATTTATATTAACTTCCTAGTGTTATTAAGGAGCCCTGGTGGTGCAATGATTAAGCGCTCGGCTGCTAACCTAAAGGTTGACAGTTCAAACCACACAGCAGCTCCTTAGGAGAAATAGCCAGCGATCTGCTCTGTAAAGATTACAGTCAAGAAAATTCTATGGGGCAGTTCTACTCTGTCACATGGGTCAGTATGAATCAGAATCAACTCAGCGGCTCCAAACAACAACAGTTTTATTAGTTTATTTCTCGTTTGTTAGAGTCCTAGTCATATGCGTGGGGTTCAAATCATGTAAATGTTAATACATATGACAACTGTAATACAAAGACTGGGAGTTATAAGAAATTTATATGGCTGTAAAGCTTCTACATTTTACTAGAATTGGTAAAATATTAACTCTAACGTTTGGTATATCTATTTGTTATCCCCAGAGCAATCTCTAAAGACAATTCCAAACCCACTCAACAAAAATTGGGTAACTTCAATAGTCCTCTGGGAGATAAATAAAGCAGTTGAAAACATAAATATAACAATAACACATATTTACATGCAGGTTTTTGTGTGAACAAAAGTACTCATTTCTCTTGGGTCAATACCTAGGAGAGGGATTGCTGGCTCATATGGTAAGTATGTCTCTCCAGGTCTGCCCTCTCGCCACCATGCCCCCATCCTAGCAGGATCTGGGCAGGTCTCCACAATGGGCCACGGGAAAGAGCATGACGACCTACAAGTGTCTGATCCTTCCCCTAGCCTGCTGCAGGGCCGGCTCCTCCACCAGCTGCCCTTCCAGCCCCAGCGTTAATCCACAGCTGAAGAGACAAGAGAGGAAGCAGGACTCCCTAGGCCCAGTGGCTGTCCTGGAATCTGCTGGAGCCGCCACCCCTGTAAATCCTTTGTACTGGAGAAGCCCAGCTCACCACGTCCCCACTTCTCCTCACTGTCAGCGTCCCTTTCAAGCACCTCTTCATGCTCACTGCCCTCAGCCCGTCACCTTGATGTCCCCCTCCTTCCTCCCTCTGGCAGGCACTGACATGGCTGACCTATCTGGTAGGCCTCCTGTCCTTCCCTGCTCCCTTCCTCACACCAGGTGTGGGCTGCGAGATGGGGAGCCCAACTCCTGACTTACCTGCTCCTCCAGCTGCTGCTCAGTCCCTTCCTCCTTCATGTTCAAGCCCATTTGGGGGGCCCTCTGAAAGGGGAGGAAGGCCCTTTGTATCCCAGGGCCTCAGTCACAACCGCAGCAGATGCCAGTTCTGCCCTCCCTGCTGATCCCAGCACCTGCAGAATGGAGTCACCTACACCCAGGAGTGTACATTCCCCCATCTCCTTCTCACAGATCCCCCTCCAATCAGGGTTCCTAGTGCCCCTCTCTCTACCAGCCCACCAACTGCTGCTTCTACAGTCAGTTCCAGCCCCTCAACCACCACATCTGCAGACTTGACCTCCCATTGTACTTCTGACATTGGGGTCACCGACATGGACACTACTCCCCGCTCCCCTGACATGCAGTCATTCTCAATCTAATCAGTCTTTTTAACAGCTATATCATAAACCAAGCATGAAGGAACCAGTGTCCTATTGACAGATCTTTAGGATGCTTTTGGACTTTGCCTATTACAATGGATATATTTGAATATATGTCTTTGTACACTGTTACCAGTGCCTGGCATATGTGAAATCAACCTCCCAGGAGCCAAATGATGTACT